ACTGTATATAATAATTCTGTATGTTCAAGTAAATCTGGCATGCTTTTAGTAAACATTTAAGTATGTTGTATACAAAAAATCAGAATTTTTAATAAATTACTTCTATTAAACATTTGTCTATGAATTTACTGAGTCATTCCGAGAGAAAACTGACTTTCATGCTAAGAATAAAAGTGCTAATTTTTATCTTTCAGTTTTCATATTTAGCTTGTATAACCTATAGAACCTCCCATAAAACTTTATATCTGATCTCTTATTTTCTTTACCCTAACACTACCTGTAGTGAACTTATCAATATACAAAGGTAAAAAAATTGAAAATACAAAATAAACTCAGTAATACTTTTTTTCTAGCATGGCTGCAGACTGTAACAAATAATTACAATGACTTATTGTAACAGCCTTAGCTATCTCACCTTCTCACATATATTTTACAATGTCGTTTAGCCCTACCTAAGTACTTGACAGGCAGTAGGAGAACTTAATGTAAACAACCAATCAGGTTAGAATTGCTATACAATTAGCTTGAGCTGGTCTTGTGAAAGTTTTGTACTCAACTTTTTAATTTACTTTTGTTATTTAACTTAAAAGGTTTCTCATTTTTAAATTTTATTTACTTTATTAAATAATATAAAACAATAAGTAAAAAATATACATAAACCACAAATACTGACATATATTAATGTTGAAGCATATTTCAGTAAATTGTACTAACAGCGTACTTCCTTAGACTAGTTTTTCACATATGTTGGTTCTCCAAAATTATTAGCATTCCTTTCAAATATGTGCTTTAGAACAGAAAAAAAATGCATCAGGCTTAAAATAGAATGTCCCAAAACTATTTTAATTCAACTGGTTTTCTAACTAAGTTATAAGTAAGCTTAAAAATTCCATTAGCCGACTTGAAGAAGAAAAACATGATTTGTAGACAATGAAACCAAGGTTAAATATCTACTTACAGGAAACAACAGTATAAGGAATCTCGTAAAGAAAAAGCTACTCTTTCTATTGGTTACTAATAATCTTATATAAGTGTAGAAAGAAAATCTAAAATGGTTGATTTGAAGAACACATCACGTGACCCAAAGTGAAGTTTGAGAATTTTTTTTTATATTTCCTTTTGAAATTAAGATATTAAAATGTCAGTTATAAAGTTGATTTGGATACAATATTTATTCACACATGCTGGTAATAAAATTGGATAATTAAATGTTGAATGTAACTCTACA